GACTTATCAAATCGAGATGGGGTTGACGTCCGCCATGATTGACCAAAGGAAGCCCAAAAAAACACAGGTATCCCATGGGAATGTCTCATTTTCTTTTTACTCAAAATCTTTCCACTTCGTTTATTGTACAGCTTCTATTATTTCGATCTGAAACTGTTTTTTTTTTAATATAAGCGAAACCATATTATTTTTGTTCAAATGGTGCCGCCACAGCGACATGATGAATGTAGCATAATTTCATGATACTCGCAAAATAATGCAAAACAACATTTTTATGCAAAACAACAGAGCGAGGCTCCCGATTAAGTGTACCCAAAGACAGATATACATTTAGAACCCCTGACCTCCCACACAATAGTTTGGTGCTCTTCCAACTGAGCTAACCGGTTGTCATGGAAACTTGATCTATGAAATATCACGGCACGAGCCCGCACAGTAGTGTCTAGTCTTTGTATAAAATCACTTCCAATTTCAATTACCATGATACTGTATGTACATCGAGGAACATATATTACTGTATGAGTCATATCATATTTAAAAGAGCTGCAGATATTGAGAGTACATGTATTCAAATATATCAATATGGACTGTAAAACACATGATGAACTAATTACACCAGAGAATGGAATAAATTGGGAGGTATACGTATATTCATTTAGAAGTTAGAGTAGTCTTACCATTTTACAAATGTAAGCCATTTGCGGACACATCGCCCCTCCTCTTTAGGCTATGAGTTGTTCGTGCTTCTGTGGTCATACTCGATACCGAGTTGACGAACAACAGAGTCTTATTACCGATGTACGACAGATTAGTATTTTTCACCATAGGCAAGTACCGTTGAAGGTTTCTAATTTTTATTAAAAAATCACCAACACCACGTTTTTAATAACATTRCTTTGCGTAAGTGCCAGTAACAACAKCAACAAAACGAGATTTTTAATTTTTATATAAAAGTACGTAAAATGCTGAGGTATACAAAGAACCTCATTTTTCTAACATATCTCGTGCAACAAGCACTGTACTAACTTCGTTGTAACTAAGAACAGGTCGTGAAATACGGAATGTGAAACACTGAACTGCAGCAATTATATGTGATAAGTTGAGGTTTTATGTTGAGGTTTTATGGCCTGAGACACTCTGCTAAGCATCRTCTACAAAAACCCCGCCCACAACTCTTCACTTCAAGATATCAAATATGTGTCTGTATAGAAGTACAACTGAAAAGCTAAATGAGGAGTCCCCTTTGCTAAGCGAATTGCCATGAACTTTTGTATCACGTACAACACATACTCGTCTGAACATATTCTCGTTATATCCTGATTTCAACTRTCAAAGGCTTGCCTGTCAAACACGAGCAGGCTCCAAAAGAGACTTCAAACTAGAATCTTTTACATTATATTGGAAAAATGCAATTGTTTTACATGTAAAAATGTTTTCAATGCTAACAAAATCC